CCGGGCGTGGTAGCGCATGCCTGTAATTCCGGCTACTCGGAAGGCTGAGGCGGAAGGATCGCCAGAACCCAGCAGGTCGAGGCTGCACTGCACTTCAGTCTGGGCGACAGAGTGAGACTCCAACTCAAAAAAGAAAAAGAAAAAAAAAACGAAAGAAAATGAACTGGGCCAGGTGCAGTGGTTTAAGTCTGAAATCCCAGCACTTTGGGAGGCCAAGGTGAGAGGATTGCCTGAGCCCAGGGGTTCGAGACCAGCCTGGGCAACTTGGCAGGACCTTGTCTCTATAATAAATCAAAAAATTAGCTGGGCATGGCAGCGCACATCTGTAGTTCCAGCTACTTGGAATCTTGAGTCTGAAAGATCACCTGAGCCCAAGCAGATCGAGGCTGCGGTGGCCGTAAGCATGCCACTGCACTCCAGCCTGGGTGATGGAGTGAGACTCCAACTCAAAAAAAAAAAAAAAGGTAATGAAAGAAAATGAACTACAGGTATAACAGGGATGGATTTCACAAACCACACTGAGCCAAAGCCAGAGGCAGAAGAATACGTACTCGGATTCTTTTGCATAACGTGACGGATGAGATAAATACTGTGCAGATAAACGACAGCTACGTAGGCCAGTGCACACAGTGGGAAGTCGGGAACGGGGACTTGGAGGGAAGAGGGGGAGCACGGGGCGCCTTTAGGGGACCTTCCGCTTCTCTGGCAACGTTCTACTTTTGTCTCAGGAGCCATCAGCCATTAGAGATGTCTGCGTGAGAAGGGACAAAACCCGAAACAGGAGCAGCAGGCAGGGCCGCACGGGAGTCGTAGAGGAAACAGCTCCAAGAGCGCCCCACCGGGCGTGTTCCTCCGACGCCTGCAACTTCCGGCGCGGCCTGCGGGCCCTGGCCCTCGACCGCCACCGCGCGGCGGCGCGACCGGCCCCCGCCGCCGAGACGAGCGGAAATGATGGGCGGTGTCTCTAGGGCAACGAATCGTCTCTCCGAGAGAAAGGATGTGCTTGCGGACCAATAGGGCGCAGAGGACGGCGCCCCGCCTACAAGCAGGCACGGCCAATGGGCTTGGAGCAGCGAGCGGGCGAGCGGACGGGCGGGGGCGGGGCGGCCCGTGCGGCGGCGCGGTATGGCGGGCGGGGCTCGGGAGGTGCTCACTCTGCAGCTGGGCCATTTTGCGGGTTTCGTGGGCGCTCACTGGTGGAACCAGCAGGTGAGGTCTACCGGCAGCTGCCCAGCGGGACCTTTCGGAATCCAGTCCTGCCTTCCGGCCTGCCCACTCGCCGCCCCCAGCCCAGCCCTTCCTCTGCCTCCCCAGGATGCTGCGCTGGGCCGAGCGGCCGACGCCGAGGAGCCACCGGGAGAGCTGTGCCCCGACGTCCTCTACCGGACGGGCCGGACGCTGCACGGCCAGGAGACCTACACGCCACGACTCATCCTCGTGGATCTGAAGGGTGAGGCGTGGCGGGGTCAGCCGGTGCTCAGCGTTTCCCTTTGGCGTGCGGAGTCTCCCACCCTACCGGCCACAGTGTTGCCAGCCCCCGAGAGGTGCAGGAAGGCAAAACGTTATTCTGCGCAGGAGCCATCTCTGGAATAGGCCACAAGCCCCTGAGACAGTGAGATGTTGACTTGCAGCCCTCCTGTGGGGCCGCTGGACGTGATTTCTGCCCCAGACACCGCAAGCTAATGACTGAGCTGGCATCGGAAGGATGGAATTAGGTTATCCCAGACCAGGGTTTCCCCCCAACTAAGGTATATCCAAGAAAGCTTGGAAGAGCCAAGTGCTGGAGGGACGGTGACAGCGGGGTGTCAGGTGATCAGAGGAAGATTAGCTGAAGGGAGAGGGAGGGTCTCTAGACCTTGACGAACACTGCCTGTTGCTTCTGTACAGGTAGTCTGAACTCCCTAAAAGAGGAAGGTGGACTGTACAGAGACAAACAGCTGGATGCTGCAATAGCATGGTGAGCATTTGTTTGATGTATGGAGAAGGGTGGGGAACAACGTGTGTGTGCAGAAAGCTGCAGGATGCGTCATACTGCAGTTTCTTTGATCAATCTCCAATCTCTTTCAGGCAGGGGAAGCTCACCACACACACAGAGGAATCCTGTCCAAAGAACCCTTATCTCCAGGACCTTTTGAGTGCAGAGGTGAGGGGCTCTGCCTCGGATCTGTGTTACCCAGTGCTCAACCAGAGCGCCTCCACTGGCGCAGATAAAAAGAGGATTTTATCGCCTTAAATGCCTTAGAATGGTGTTTTGCAAGAAAGCACTTCTTTTCCTAAGGACTGATTATGTGAACAGGACGGTGACTGTAGGGTGTGGCTAGCAAACCTGGGAAAGACACATCAACCTTTGCCTCTAAACATCTACCAGGAGCTAAATGTTGATTTTTCTCACCCCTCCCAGGGAGTGCTTAGCGATGGTGTGTGGCGGGTTAAATCCATTCCCGACGGCAAAGGTGAGACTTCTCCAGATATTGGTGGATAGGGACCTCGGTAGAGCAGGAACATGGAGAAAGGGACATTTCCTCTACCTTTTTCAGGTCCCCCACCACTCACCCCAGCTGCAACTCCAAAACCACTTACGCCCTCAGAGGGCAGCATCAGAGTGTGGTCGGACTTCCTCCGTGTCCATCTCCATCCCCGGAGCATCTGTGTGATTCAGAAGTACAACCATGATGGGTATGGGGGTCAGAGGCTGTGTTTGTTTGGCAAGAGATGCGGTTCCCCACCAGTGCTGGATGGGGCTCTTGCAGCCATCTTCCCCCAAACGAAAAACAAAAGAGTTGGAGGCATTGAGGGCAAGGGTTGTAAGTCTCGGGTCATGTTTATTC